GAAGTCGAGATATCAAGGAAAGTCGAACGATGATGGAGGAGCAACGCCGAAGCTCCAGCCGAGGTTCAGCCGGCCGAACTCTATCCTGGCCAATCAGAGGGCCGCACATGTAAGCATAACACCGGAACAACGACGGCCCGCAGCTACCCCGGATCGGCTTGGCGTTGTCTTGGCGTTGCTTCCCCAGAGTCTTTTTGCCAGCAGAAGTAAAAGAGATCCACGACGGCAGGACGATAAAATAATAATAATAATAATAATGGAGCGGGCGGGAGACGCAGGCAGACAAGGCGGGCTGGGGGCCTATCGTGCGAGTGGACAGGCGGGGAGGGCGTCGTCGTTGGTTAGCTGCCTCTCTCTCTCGCATGTGAAATGAAGCCGCGCCTGCGCTGGGACGAAAGGAGGGAGCTTCGGGATGCATGTGATTTTTTTTGGGCGGGCGGGAGATCGCGGGTCACGTGGATGTAACCTGATCCCTCCCAATTGGAACACGCGACGGGCGACGACGACGACGACGACGATGGAGGCAGACGAAGCAGAGGCGCCGGATAGCTCAGCAGGAGAGTAAGGGCAATAACACGAAACGCGACTGGCCGCTGAGCTGCTGGACGCCGGTAGCACAGATGAAATAACCCGTGACGGGCATCAATCTACATTCTAATATTCAACCGTCAGATATCTACTCCGTATATTCTTGCTATTCTCTATCTATCTACCTGTCTATCTATCTATCTTCTCTCTACAGGGTCTTCCGTCTACTCGTCTCTTGTTCTCCCTCTGTTATTATTACTGTCTACTGCCTGCTGTTTTGCTGCTTTCTTCCTTCTTGACTGTACCTGATTAGTCATCTCTTTGTCATCAAGTCACGCGAGATGACGTCGATACCCCTTCACGTGACTACAAACTCCCACTAGTCCCCTTCAGGCCTAGCCTCTCCGGCAGAAAAAAAGCCGCCCGGGCGCTTCTTGTCGCCTGCTTACCTAACTCACCGCCTTTCCCTTCTCGTCCAGCTTAGGGTCTTTTTTTCTTCCTTTTTTTTTTTTTTTTTGTAGTTTTTCCGTTGCAAAAGAAAGATCCAGCGAGAAAGCAAACACGATTTTACGCTTACTCCAGCTTTTTCCTCCAAGGCTCACCGAAAAACAACAGCCAGCAGCAAACCGCCGTCGCCCTGCCGCCCCCCCCCCCAAAGCTCGCAGTCGCAGAGCTCGATAGCCCACCGATTGCCTGACCAGCCTGCTGCCTTGCCGGCGCTCGATTCTGGCGGCCTCGTCCCATGTCCAGCGCCGCAGCTCGCCCCTGAAAGCGACCCTCCCTCCACTCGTTTTGAGCTGGCCCAGTTCAAACTCTTCCGGCCCGTTGCTGGTCGAGCTGCGTTTCCAGTCGACGGCGTACCAGGACGACACCTGCTATCCTGCTCCCGTTGTGCCCTCCGCCCCGTCTCGTTGACACCTGTTGTTGGCTGAGGTCCGGCTGCTCGGCGTGTTGCACCGTATGAATCCGTCGGGTAAAGATGGGTGGCATCCGGGTGCTGGCCCGCAGCCTCACCATGTAGACCAGATGGGCCAGCAGTCCGCGCGCCCAGTCGGTGCTTTTGGGTATATCCTCTCTCTCTCTCTCTCTGTCTCTCTTTTTCCTTGGTTGATCGTTGCTGTTGGCCTTGCTAGCAGTTGGCCATATACGCTTAATATGACATGTCAAGCTGACGGCGCTTTGCGCATTCGGGAAAAAAAGGCAAAACACTCCGTTGGATGACCAGGCGTCGAAACAGCCGTCGCGCACCCTTCCTCCGCCGCAAGGTACGACCGCTGTTTGCTTTCCACTCTATCTTTTTGCTATATACGACTAACGATGCCCTCTGCAGGCCCATATCACTCCGCAAGCCAGTCAAGCCATTCTCTCCCCACGCTCGCAGATCTCACGCAAGGCGCCTCTGTTCCTCCTCCAGCGCCCCAGTCACACCAGCAGCAGCAACAACAACAGCAGCAGCAACAGCAACAGCAACAGCAGCAACAGCAGGCTTCTCGCTATGGTCCGCACCAGCAGCAGCCGCTAGGACGGGGTCACGCATTGCCCGGTATCGGCCAGACCATCCAGCACACTTCGCCTCCGTCGTCAATAAGTCACGACCGTGAGCGTGAGCGTGAACGAGACCGCAGACCTCGCCAAAGAGAGATAGAAATGCTTGAGCTCGAGCGAGAGATGGAACGAGAGAACGAGATGCGTGAGCGAGAGCGTGAGATGGCTGATAGGTATCACCGTGAACAGCAGCATCAACAGCAGCAGGCCCAGGCACAGCAGCAGCAACAACAGCAACAACAGCAACAGCAACAACAACAACCACACCCGGTTCAAAGTCATACGGGATCCATCCCCATCCATCAGCCAGTTGCTTCAAAGGTACCAAGCTCGATCCACGGACCCAATGGCCTGCTCTCGAATCTGGCTACGGCCACTAACGCGCCACAGCCTTCTATTCAGGCTTCAAACCCACCTTCCAGCCTGTTTGGTAGCTCCATGCAACACAGCGAGGGGCCACCACGCCAGTATCTCCAGCCCTCCCAGCCAGTCCTCGCTTTCAACTCCGGCCCTTCTCAGGTTCCGGGCAGTGTTGCTGCTCTAGCACAGGGCCAGCAACCCATATTAAACGTAAGTTTCCCACCCCCTACTTTCCACCCCATTTTCTTTTCATACAAAAGAAGCAAGCTCTGCCTGTGTGAATGGAGCACACACAATGAAAACGATGTGTTACCCTCGTCAGCCGTCTAAACTGATGGCAAGTACTGGAAAATGGAATGTCCCGTGAATTTCATTCACCGCGCTGAGAATGACTGCATGGTCGGAGCTGATTTCACTTATCCTGCTCCTCCCGTACCATATATGCACTGTTTTCTACTTTTTTTTACGACTTTCTTTCCGTTATATACTCAATTCCCCTACCTAAGCACACATCGAAGTCGGATTTTGTTTTCACACAAGTTGAATCCTTGCTAATGGCGCCTAATAAACAGGATGCGCTCAGCTATCTCGACCAGGTCAAGGTTCGCTTCGTCGAGCAGCCAGAAGTCTATAACCGGTTCCTTGACATTATGAAGGATTTCAAAAGCCAAGCGTGCGTCACATGCGGGACTACATTGCAATATACACCACAAAAACTGACAGTCTATTAGTATCGATACACCCGGCGTCATCCAGCGTGTTTCGACCCTCTTTAACGGCCATCCTGCTCTGATCCAAGGATTCAACACCTTCCTACCCCCCGGGTACCGTATAGAATGCGGAACAGACGATAACCCTGATGCAATCCGCGTGACTACTCCCTCGGGCACAAATACCATTTCTATGCAGTCTGGTTCTAGACCCTCGTTAGGCGCCCCCGAAGGAGCCGGCCCTGCAGTGCAATCCGCCTCGGCTTCACGTCCCGAATACTACGACCAGCCTCGCAGCGCATGGCAGCATGGCCATGCTCAGCAACAGGCACAGCCAGGCCATCCATCAGGTGCGCCTGGCTCATACTCGCCTAAGTCGCAGCATATGGCCGCTGGAATGTACGGACAGCAACAGCAGTCTAGGCACAACCCATCCCAGGACACACAGTATGATTACCAGGCTCAGCATGAGCAACAAGCTTCCAGCGAGGCCGCCTCAATGGTTCATCAACAGGAACAACGCGGAGTTTCGCAGTTGCAGAATGCTGTATCGGTCGCCTCCGGTGCAAGTCGGCAGCCAATGATGCAGCTCCCGCCGGGTTCCCATACACCCGGCCCATCGCAGCCTATGGGCTCTATGGCCGCCGGTATGGGCCCGTCGGGTGTTATGCCAGGTCAGGTTGATGCTTCGAAGCGTGGGCCTGTTGAGTTTAACCATGCAATTAGCTACGTCAATAAAATCAAGGTATTTAAGATTCCTGCGAAGTTATGTGCCATTCATTACCGTTAATTGCGCTAACAATTTGTTTTCTCTAGAATCGCTTCTCCGACTCCCCCGAGATATACAAACAGTTCCTTGAAATTCTACAAACATACCAACGCGAATCAAAGCCCATCCAAGACGTTTATACCCAGGTCACTCACCTTTTCGGCGCCGCTCCTGATCTTCTAGAAGACTTTAAACAATTCCTACCAGAGTCCGCCGCACAGGCGAAAGCTCAAGCTCCACCTTCAACCCGCCAGTCGCAGGAAGAGGTCCCCATCATCAGCAATGTACGTGGAGAACCCGGCTATGGTTCTGCAGGTCTGCCACAACCCCAGATGGCGAGAAGTGATGTGAAGATGCCACCGCTAGGACAGTTTAACGTCAAAGATTCAACCAAGGAGAACAAAAAACGACGTGGTGCTCCAGGTGCCCAGGCCGTCGGCGGAGGAATGCCCGGCATGCAGCCAGCAGTTGGCGACATGAATGGTGCCCAGATGAACAAGAATGGCCCCCAGCAGATTGGCATGAATAAGAGAACAAAATTGAGCCATAAGCCATCTGCCACGGATGCTCATCAACCTACCATCTCACCAACTCTGGTCCCTGCATTGCCTGAGCCGATACCTCCAAGCTTCTCTCTTACTCCCTCCCACGAAGAATATGCCTTCTTCGACCGGGTGAAGAAATTCATCGGCAACAAGCAAACATTCGGAGAATTCCTCAAGCTCTGCAACCTTTACTCTGCGGACCTGATTGACCGCAATGTCCTCGTCAATCGTGCCGCGGGTTTCATCGGCGCAAACCAGGAAATTATGTCCTGGTTCAAGAGATTCATGCATATCGAACCGAAGGACGAGCTCATCGAACCCAAGGCCAAACCCGATTCCGGGTCTGTCAATCTCTCTCACTGCCGTGCGCTGGGACCAAGTTATCGTCTTCTACCTAAGCGTGAGCGTCAAAAGGCCTGCAGTGGCCGTGATGAGCTATGTAGGAGCGTATTGAACGATGACTGGGCCTCTCACCCAACTTGGGCCTCTGAGGATTCTGGCTTCGTTGCCCATCGCAAGAACCAGTACGAAGATGCTCTGCACCGTATCGAAGAAGACCGCCACGACTATGACCACCATATCGAAGCCTGCATCCGCACTATTCAGCTTCTGGAACCCCTAGTGCAGCAGATTTCACTTATGAGTGACAGTGATAGGTCGTCGTTCAAGCTGCCGCCCGGCCTTGGAGGACAGAGTGAGACCATCTACCGACGAGTCATCAAGAAGATATACGACCGCGAACCCGGCCAGCGAGTCATCGAAGAGATGTTTAACCGGCCTTGCCTCGTGCTGCCGATCGTGCTTGCCCGGCTGAAGCAGAAATGCGAAGAATGGAAAGCAACACAGGTACGGTTACTCCTTCCTTCCTATTAAACTTGTATAAAAGCTTGTTACTGACTAAATATAGCGTGAATGGGATAAGGTGTGGCGAGAACAGATGCAGAAGGGTTTCTGGCGAAGCTTAGATCACCAGGCTATCATCATGAAGGGCAACGACAAGAAGGTGTTCTTGAGCAAACATATCCAGCATGAAATTCAGACGAAGTTTGAAGAAGGCCGGAATCGTCGTAGGACTGGAGTCCATGTCTCCAATTACCAGATGGACTTCGCCTTCGAGGATTCTGAGGTGGTCCTTGATGCCACCCATCTGCTTCTCTGCTATCTCGACCACAGCTCTGCCGGCTTTGGTGCTGATCCGCAGCGCGTTATGGCTTTTATCAAGGACTTCATTCCCGTCTTTTTCGGAATTGATCGGGAAGCTTTCAAGAATTACCTATCAGAGGTGTATGACAGTTCATCGGCAAGTGAGGATGCTGACGATGATAGCTCGCCGGACGAAGCTCCCATACGGCCAAAGCGCATCACAAGCGGGAAGAAATTCGAGCTTCTGCGCGAGGTTCTCAACAGATGCCCAGATCGGTCTAACCGGCCCGAACTTGACCTCAGAGCCGGTTCTACAGCCGCAAGTCGAGCATCAACTCCTCTGTCGATGAACGATTCCACACCCGCGCCTCGTTCAGGTGATAACTTTGATATCGCCGAGCTTCGATGGATGGACCATCCTACTCGCGGAAACTTCCATCACAAACGGGAATACCCGCTCAACGAGCCCTACAAGAAGAAAGTCCATCATTTCTACTGCAATCTTACCATCTACTGTTTCCTATATACCTTTGAAATTCTTTATCGTCGGCTGTTGAATGTGAAGCAGTATGAAAAGGAAGCCCATGAGGCCGTTCGTCGTGCCATGGCACCCAAGGCCGCCTTGGAGCTGGGAATGATTGACAAAACGCCCGCTGATCTGCTTTATGACACCGACCCCAAAGCAAACTTGTACCACCAGATCATCCGCATGTGTGAAGAGGCGATTACGGGTAATTTGGAGCTAACGCATCTCGAGGAAACCCTGCGCCGCTTCTACATGAAGAACGGATGGCAACTCTATCAGCTTGATAGAATTATGGGTGGTATTGCAAAGTACGCTGCCGGTGTGTTCAATGGTGATGTCAAGGACAGAAGCTCGGATGTTATAAATCTGTTCTACAAAGAGCGAGAGAAAGAGGAGACAACTCATAACCAAGAGCTCCAATATCGCAAACAGGTGGAACGATTAATTAAGGAAGGAGATATCTATCGTGTCACATTTGTAAGGATCCATATTTCAACTTTCGACTGCGAATAAGTACTAACGTGTCGGTCTTCAGGTCCCTGCTTCGAAACATGTCTTGGTCCAGCTTTTAACCCCAGATCAGAGTACACTGGAAAGTGACGGCCTGGGTCATGAAGCTCGATGGTCCTACTATGTTTCTGCCTACACTATGCGCGATCCCACTGAGGGAGTTCTCTTCTCGGACATGCGCATGCCTTTCTTGAAACGCAACTTGCCTCCCAAGATGGACTCGGATGAAGAATATAATAACTTCTACAAGCCACTTGTCCATCACGACGGCCTAGTCATACGCATCTGCGCTAACAGCTATAACATTTTGTACGAGCCAGGTACCCAGGACTGGTGGTATCGCCATGAAACCAACAAGGAAATCAAAGCCCCAGAGAACATGAGGGAATACGCCAGCTTGAAAGAAAAGCGCAGAGATCGGTTCAGAGGGAAGTTTGTGAACAACCCTGCCTGGGCCCGTGGACTGAGCAAGGATGAAGTCGACAAGTCAAACCAGCAGTTCAGGACTTGGGTTGGTGCCATTGCAGAGGACACAGTACCAGCCGTCGCCACTTCTGACACCGCAGCCGAGCCTAAATCTGACGACAAGGCTGCTTCATCTGCCAGTCGTGAGAAAGACACAGCTGCCCCCAAAGTAAAAGGCGAAGAACCGGCGGACGAGGACCAGGAAATGGGCGGCGTTGATGCTGAATCTTCAAAGTAGTATCTACATCGAGCCCACCCACCTGACTGACCTTGTTAATGATTCCATCTAATTTTCTCCGTTTCTCTTGACTATCTCTTCACTACATGCATATCCGGGGAGTTAACCATTTCACCAAGGCAGGCCCCCTGGCGCCGGCGCCCTTCCTTTTGATCGAGACGGGAAAGACAACCAAGCAAGGCTCTTTGCTTCGTTTCTTTTCCTCGCTCTCGAACGTACGTACATTTACTTATCTTAGCACCTGGTTGGTGGGCATGGATGGATATTGTATCTGGCGTGGCATCGTCACCTTCCTTTCTTCTGCTTCACCTTGCTTCGGTTCCTGTCTTAATGTCTTTTTGATTATCTCGATGTCTTGTCTCTATTATGCTCAACTAACCATGTACTATTGTTTATGCTGTAATTGATATATTTTGTCAGCCAATGCATTGTGTCATCATGTATACACTCTTGACCTTGGGTGCGTAACTGGTTGATTTTTGGCGGTGAAGTTGGAGTAATGACGTTGGACGCAGTTTAAAACCAACGACATCAACGTCAACGTCAACATCAATGTTAACATCTTCATGACTATCTACCTATCATCACCGTTTTCTATTTGAGCGCCATAAAACGGACTAACACCTCGATACCTAATGTTGCATAGGTGTATGTATATCTACCGGAAGCCTGCCTAGCGAGTGACGGCGGGGGTCGTAGATGACCAACAGTCATCCAAGACCCAGCTGGCCGCAGACACTTATCCCTCGACTCAGTTCGACCTACCACGACCCGAGAATCGTCATGCATGATATCATCCATATTATACCGTTCGTGATATCGTCTTTTAGTACGACGGGCCATAGATAAGCTCGGTACAGACGCATGTTGATGGCCCCAGACTCTGGCCGGACCGCGGCGGTTAGGCATGACGCTCACCTTGCATAAACCTGCGTACTGGACAGACGTGTCTCCATAAAGTAATATAAATTGACGGCGCTACCAGCCTCGTGCACTACCTTGGTGATAGAGGACCTGGCTAATGGGCAGCCTTGCCAGTGATATTTAAGTATACACCACCAGAAACCAGCGAATAACGTGGGTATCAAGGCGAGTACGGCTACTCTGTTACCTTGACGAGTCAGCTTGCATCAACTAGGCTGCTGTAACACTGATACGCAGCGTCCGATATTGGTCTGTTCCATGTAAATTTTGACGACAATCCCAGAGATTTGGAGCAGATGTCAGCAATTAATATACCGCGATTAATCTCCGATTAATTCGCCAACAGAGGGATTGGTGTATCATATATATACACAGAGAGGGCTTCATGCTTAAAAATCTCTGCATCTTTCCAGGGGTAACCGGCAATAAATGCTTGACATTGCATATACACTGTTAACCTACTGGGTCAGATCAAGCATTATGTTCTGGCTCGTTAACTTCGGCACTCTCCCGCGGCACACGAGGTGTTCCCATGTTATCCGATCTGATTGGGAGATCCAGGGGTTACTTTCTGTGCACACACCAGTGTTGGGGAGAATATACGATGCGATCTTGCACATCAATACATGTGCCTGGTGGAGTTGGGGATCTCCTTGTTTGACAGCAAACATTCGGCGGAAACGCCCAACTAAGAGAGATCTGCGAGGCTATATACCGAGTATGGACTGTCAGTTACGACGGCTGGCCAACGTAGCAGACGCTTCCTCTGCTGTGACTTGTGTGTGCAAGGGATGTCCGTCCAGTCAGTGAGTGACAGAGTAGTGGTGACCAACAACATCGACACATGCCTGAACGTCCTCGACTTGCCAGCAAGCCAACGAGGGGGCAGAGGGGTAACTATGAGCAAATGGCGCAAGAGCCGCAAGAAATTGCAGTGGAAAAGAAAAGAGAAGAAGCAAAGAAAATCGACAAATGAGTGCTTTGGAATGCATCAAAAATTTCGACCAGAGGCGCCCAAAACGAAGGCGTCTGCGAGTGACAAACGCCACGTCGAGGAACATAATAACGACGGCTACGAGCAGCGAATGATATCTTCGCATTGGGCGAGAAGAGAGGCCCCCAAGCCCATGGAGGCTTTTCCAAGAGCCTTTTGCGAGACGCCACGGATGAGAGCGAGGAGAGCATCTCCGTGGTGATATTAGGGTAAAAATAGCGCTGGACACGAGGCGGAACCCTGTCCGTTGCCTGGCCTCGCAGCACTACGCCCAGATAGGGCAGGCCAGCGAAAGCCCTAGCAGGGAAGTCCGAAGAGGGCGATCCTTCGACTGCCTTCCTGCGTTGCCTCTGTTCTGCTCCCCTATCCCATGGTGAAACGCAGGAACGGCGAATATACTTTTGACGGAGGGATTTTTACCTTTACGCCGTCAATAATACAGAGAGATCCTGGGACCAAGACATCATAACCAGACATGTTATCGGGCTACAGAGGATATGGCAGGATACAAGACATCCATTATCAGGACCTGTCGAGGGGCATAAGACGACGCTTGGGTCTCTCACTTATTTTTCTCCCACGTTGTGGCTCGTCTTAGCTGGTCGGCCCTGACTTGCATATCAAATCTCCCCCCCCAAGGCGTATCGCCCGTGACGGTAGCGTCGTTGCCAGCTGGTTCTGCCCCTGCCGAGCACCTTCGAGCAGCCAATGAGCGCGGCGAGGGACCTGGCTCACCGCCACCCAGGCCGGCAGCTCGGACGATCCTCTCGTCGTATTATGCTTTTAATAATAATACCGATAAATAAAACACCCTCAGCAGAGCAGGCGAGGCCACGGCGAGCGCAGCAGCAGCAGCAGCAGGATGGAGTGAGCAAGACGCGGAGACAAAGGCGAAGGCAGAGAGGCACGGAGACCAAATTTAAAGGCCTTTCGCAGCCGGGGGTGACAGCCAGAAACGATCAGAGAGAGAGGGACGGGTCATGCCCGGCAGGCTTAGCGGCTGGGGGTGTCTTCGTGTGCTGCCAATAATCGGTCTAGATATACTGGCGCAGGGCCCGCCAAGGGGGTTGAACGCTTGAAGGTGCAATTTCCGCACACGGTGCAACGCCCCCTTTTTCCCACTCGGCAGCGCCCTTGTCCCCGGCGAAGAGGAGTACTTAATATAACACTCCCTCGCATGGCCCTTTCATTTCTCTTTGCTTCATATCTCTCGGTTTCCGTCCCCAGGAGATTCTCCCTTGCCTACCACCGCTTCACTCTTTCAGCGGGCATTCTTTAACGACTATCCAACGCTCTCTCGTCGTCTGCGTTTTCCCTCCAGCCAGCCGCCAGCCAGAGAAAAAAAAGAACGAACGCCTCCCCGCCGCCACTGGAGAAGAATCGATAGAGGAGAGAGATGAAGTCTTCCTTGTTTGTTGCGGCCGCTGGCCTGCTCGGCTCAGCTGTCGCCAGCCCTCATGCCCATGGCCATGGAAAATTCCATCGCCGTGCTGTTCCAAACCCTCAGGAGACCTGCTTCTGTGAAACCAGGGTCGTCACCTTCTATGGACCTCCAACCCGTATGTTTTCCCTCCCTGATCGATGAATGGCGATGGTCATTGATATGGATCGTCTCTGTCGCGAGTGTTGATTGCAACGATTTCCTGCTAACTCGAGATGATATCAAGTCGTCTTCCCGACGCCGACACCGACTCCAACACCGATTGAAACGACCACCACCGTCCAGTCGACCAGCTACACCACTGTGACTGTCAATACCACTGTTCCTGCTTCCTCCCCGGCTCCTAGCTCCTCCGAAACTACCCAACTGCCAACTGATATCGTCATCGTCTACCCGACTCCAGGAACTTACACCATTCCCCCAACCACCTATACTGTTCCCACCACGGCCACCGTCTGTCCTTCTTCTCCTTCTTCCAGCGCGCCAACTGGCCCTGTTACCAGCGGTGCTCCCCCATGCCCCAATCCCACCACTATCCCACCAGGCACCTATAATCAGCCTGGCATGGTCGTAACTATCACCATCACCAAGCAAATCGTCACCTGCCCTGCGCCAACCAACACTCACCCGGCACCACCACCACCACCACCAACCACGACCCCAGCTCCTACTCCCGCTGAGCCATCCCCGCCTCCCCAGGCCCCAACCAGCAAGGCTCCTGAACCACCAAAGACCCCAACCTCTTCCCAGGCCCCGGCTCCTAAGCCAAGCGGTGGTCTCGGTGGAGGTAAAACTGGTGGCATGACCTACTCTCCTTACTCCAACGATGGCCAGTGCAAGGATGCCGGTACTGTCATGAAGGATATTTCCATCATCAAGGGAGCCGGTTTCACTACCATCCGCCTGTACTCCACTGACTGCGATGGCCTCAAGAACGTTGGTGATGCCTGCAAGGCCCACGGCGTTAAGATGATCATTGGCGTCTTCATCTCTGAGACTGGTATTGAAGGAGCTGGTAAGCAGGTCACAGACATCACCGGCTGGGCACGGTGGGATTTGGTTACCCTCATTGTCGTCGGTAACGAGTCCATCCAGTCTGGTCGCACTAATGCTGGCGCTCTCGCCGGGTTCATCATCTCAGCCAAGGCCTCCTTCAAGAGTGCTGGCTATGGCGGCATGGTCACCACCACTGAGACCGTCAACATCTGGCAAGCCAGTGGCTCTACCCTTTGCGACGCAATTGATGTCCTTGGTGCCAATATCCACTGCTTCTTCAACCCAGATGTCACCGCCGACAAATGTGGCAGCTTCGTCCGCGGCCAGATGGACCTTCTCTCCAAGATTTGCCCAGGCAAGAAGGTCTACAACCTCGAGACGGGCTGGCCTAAGCAGGGTAACCCTAACAACCTCGCTATTCCTGGTGTATCACAACAGAAGCAAGCCATCGAGTCTCTTGTCAAGGAAGTCGGACCTGACTCTATCTTCTTCTCCTTCGTTGATGACTCCTGGAAGGACCCTGGCCAGTACGGAGTCGAGCAGCACTGGGGATGTATCAATGTCTTCCAGTCAATGTAAAGTTAGCATCTAGCTAGACCTGACGCATTTCACTTCAATTCCGTTTCCGCGTGATCACCTTTTTACTACTCTATTGACCCTCTCTCTCTCCTCGCCCCTTTTTTCCATCTCCGCCGCTCGAGTGCGAGGCACGAACCTATCTTGCCGTTTCCTGTCTCTTTTCCTCCCCTTTCTCGCCTCGTCTTTTTCTTCTCTTGTCCAAATGCCCCTGGCCGTTGTGTGAAATAGTTTATGTTTGGAGTGAGTTGGATCGGAGGGAGTTGTATTTCATATACGCATCAGCCGTATTCACTTTTAATCCATGTCAAGAATTTCCTTTTCTGAATTCCAATTCCAAGCAGCCGGCTAGAAGCAATAGCCTGGCTGATGTTTCATGGTATTTCATGGTACTTCGTGATATCTGATGGTCTCTGATGATGGTCTTTGATGGTCTCCTAGACTTGAGCCTCCCAGCGGACCAGCTTGATATTGCGCCCAGCGTATACTCAACGTGCATTTAAACATCAGACAGACGTCATCATGCTCAACGGCTACTGACCTTATCGATGTCTCGTCAGTTGGCTTTCCGCCGACGGAGCAACTTGAGGCCGTCGGATCTGCGGCTCGACTGGTTCTTCCGGTCGTTGCTCAGCCCTGTACACCCCCCTGTGGGCCAATAGCAAGACAGCGGCAGACGAGCTTTGCTGCTTCGTTGCTATCAGTTGGTTGACAAACAGGTGGTGCCCCCTTAAGGTCCCTCCCATGGCGTGCGACCGGGAGCTTGAAATATAGCTGCCTGGCTGATAGTTAACTATCCACTGTCGATGACGGTCTCCCTCGCATCATCGTCGTCGTATAGCTTAGCTTAGGAGCTGCATCAGCCTCTCTGCTTAACGTTATGCTCGTTTCTATGGTCTGGGCTCGTAAAAACTTTTCTGATAACGACCATTTTGGACCCTGTGGATCTGTCAAATGATGGAGTTTCTGAGTCTCAAGGCCTGACGGGATGGAGCAACGGCCCTCTCCCGACTCAAGCTGGGCCTGGACATTCCTCCGTTCTCTTCTTGTTTCTCCTGCGGGTCGGGTGGATGTCGGATGTCGCACTCTCGCTTCCCCGATGCCATATCAGATGCTGGATAGATATACATATATATATACATAGATGTATATATAATTCATATCTTGCTGAGATGTCTGGCTGTTTCTGGCAACTATATACCCCCTCTCTATCAAAGCGGATATCAATCTGGCCAGCATGAGCACTGCAGTTGAAGGAGGAGGCCAGAACGGCCAGCAGCAGTCAGGGGGCTCTTCTTCTGCCAGCTCGCATACCGAGGTAGACGAGTTCCGTCCCTCCAAGCGGACATGGCTCATCTTCCTGACGCTGTCTGTGTTGACACTGATGGTGGCCCTCGATGGGACGTCTATATCCGTTGCCTTGCCTGTACGCATACCCATTGCTTAAAATGCCCCCTGTTCATGGAGCCACCAAACTGACTGTCTGACTACCAGATAATTGCTTCTAAACTACATGGATCGGCCATCGAGGCCTTCTGGAGCGGGACTTCGTTCCTCCTCTGCTCAACAGGTTGGATCCCCCTAAAGCCGATAGATAACTATTCAACCCCCCCCCCCGATGTCGAGCTAACTAACAGCCGCCGGCCAAACAGTCTTCCAACCCAGCTTTGCGTCGTTTTCAAACATCTTCGGCCGCAAACCCATGACGCTGATTGCGCTGACGTTCTTCTTCGTCGGCACCCTTGTCTCTGGTCTATCAAACAACTTCACGCAGATGCTGGTCGGTCGGTCCATCCAGGGCGTCGGAGGAGGCGGCATCATCGCCCTCACGGAAATCGTGGTCACGGATCTGATCCCCATGCGCGAACGAGGGAAATACTTCGGTATCCTGAGCTCGATGTGGAGTTTGGGATCAGTGCTGGGCCCTGTGTTGGGCGGCGGATTCTCACAGAACGTCTCCTGGCGATGGATCTTTTACATCAACTTTCCCTTCGTGGGCATCAGCTTGATATTTATCATCCTTTTCTTCAAGCTTACCCGTATCCCGGACTCGTTGGCCACGAAGCTACGCAGAATAGACTATATCGGGTCAGCGCTGTTCATTGCCTCTGCGGTCTCCTTTCTCATCCCCGTCACTTGGGGAGGAGTCATGTACGACTGGAGCTCCTGGCGGACGCTGGTGCCCCTGATACTAGGCATTGCAGGACTGATTGGATTCATGTTCTATGAGACGTACTTCGCTGCCGATCCCATGATTCCCGTTACCGTCTTTGCTACTCGAACCGCCATCGTGTCGTACATCGAGACGGTGCTACATGGCCTCGTCCTCTGGTGCGGCCTCTACTACTTGCCTCTTTACTTCGAGACAGTCAAGGAATACTCGCCCATCCTGTCCGGCGTCGCTCTTTTCCCGCTCGGCTTTACTGTCGCCCCGAGTGCCGTCGTAGTGGGCGTCATCACCACCCTAACAGGCAAATACCGCTGGTCAATCTGGATGGGCTTCTTCCTCAGCACCCTGGGAATGGGCCTGCTGGCCATCCTAAAGGTAGACAGCAGCGTTCCAGCATGGATCTTCCTCATGCTCCCCGCCGGCGTGGGATTAGGCATGCTTTTCCCCGGCCTTGGTTTCGTTATCCAAGCCTCCGCGCTCAAGGGCCATATGTCCATGGCCGTCGCGATGTTCAGCTTCTTCCGCGCCTTCGGTCAAGCCATTGGCGTTGCTATTGGCGGCGTCATCTTCCAGAACCGCATGGTAGCCAAGTTGAGGAAATACCCTGAGTTTTCTGCCCCGGGTCTAGCAGAGAAGCTGAGCAAGGATGCCGCTGTGTTGGTACAGGTGGTTCGAGGGATGCCTGAGGGCCCGCAGAAGATGCATCTCAAGGAGGCGTTTACGGGCAGCTTGAGGTTTGTCTGGATCGTCTGCTGTGTGCTTCTGGCTGTTGGAGGGCTGTTGAGCGTATTTACTGCCTCGTATGACTTGAACCAGGGGATCGATTCGGAGCAGACGCTGGTTGAGAAAAAGGATCGCAACTCGACGGTTGAGACGGGTGTCACACCATCTCAGAAGGCTTGATGAACGCTTTTGTTTCTTTCTTCCTACTTTTTTTTGTTTTGTACATAGCCATGGTTATGGCTACGGGAGGGGCGGCTAGAGGAAATCCTAGATGGCGTTGATGCTATGGGTGAACATAATAATGTGATGACATGTATATAATGTAACGAAGAAACTCTCGATTCAAAAAGTACCAGACGCTGTATGTATATATTCGCACTGCATCAGGAAAAACCAAACCAATTCATTATTGCTAAAATCAAATCCAGTCTTTCTTCTTGGAGAAAAAAATGTGGGGGATAAATAGGGTTGAATATCCCGCAAGTAGACTATGCAAAAGGATGAGACAAGCAAGGCCCAACGTAGGACAAAATGTGTATATATGCAAGGACTGGAAACAATAGACGGAAAAAGGTCCAGACAGACAGAGGAAAGGCAGAAGATAGAAGTAAAAAGTAAAAAGTGAAAAAGAAGAAAAGAAAAGCTAGCCTGTCCAAGGCGCATGAGGGCTGATATATGTATATCAAGGGCAAGACCAACAACCGTACGATGCATGTATGTAGTATATGTCGGAGCGCGGGTGTGGGCGGATGTATAGGTGGTATTAAGCTATTACGCTAGAGAAGTCGTTATCCTTGAAGGTAAATGGCGAGGAGGTTAGAGCCGAAGGAGAAAAAAGAGAGGGAGAGGGAGAGAGAGAGATAGAGGGAGTGGTAGAGGTGAGAAAAAAAGGGAGTATCTAGTAAGGAGAGTGAGATGCAGATGCGCGCTGAGAAATAGGAGTGGAAGGTAGATAAGATGTGAACATAAATGAATCAGAAAAGACCGAATCGTTTCGTCTTTGGTTTTTCTCCTGATAGATAGATAGCCGGTTAGTACGTGCATCCAAGTTTAGGTATAGATAAATATAAATGGGAGGATGTACCATTTTTCTGGAGACGACGGGCGGCAGCGGAGTTAGGGTCAGCCCCTGAAGCAGCTGCTCTGATGGCAGCTATTCGATGCTTTGCTCTCTCATCACCGTGATCAGCGGCGCGGACATACCATACATTGGCCTCGAGGGGGTCACGACGACATCCGATGCCCATCTCCGTGAAATAGCCAACAGCGTATTCAGCTTTGGCCAGCCCTAGAAAGAATGCCGGTTAATATCAGGGTTTACCATGTATAAGCTAGCCAGGGGGAGGAAATAGAAGAACATACCACATTCGGCTGCCCGTCTGGCCCATTCATAGGACTCGTTCTCATCCTTTTCGAGAATGGGTTCAGCACCAACCATGAACCAGGCGCACAACGCCATCATGGCCATGGGGTGGCCCAGCTGCGCAGCTCCGGTATAGAAATGGACGCTCAGCGCCGGGTCTCGAGGACAGTTGAGCTTCCCGTGCTCATACGCATCACCCATACGATAGCTGGCCTCCGCATGGCCCAGTTCGGCGCTCTTGGTGAAAAGCTGAGCAGCGTAGGATTCGTCCTGGAACACATCGTCACCGTATCCGACCTCATGCAGCAGACCTAGCTCGTAGGGCGCGGCGTTGTACTGAACATCCGCGGATTCCGCAGCCCGTTTGAGCCAGGTGATGCCCTCGCGATATCTCTTGACCAGGCCCATGTCCCCAGCCAGACAGGCCCTTCCCAGCCTTGCCATGGCGCCTGGGTGGTTTTTAGAAGCGGCCTGACGGTAGAACTGGACTGCCTTTGCGCCGTCCTGCTTGGTACCCCAGCCGAACTCGTAGCAGAGAGCAGCGCGATAACCGGCTTCTGCGTGGCCATGTTTGCTTGCAGCGACGAAAAGTTGGAATGCCTTGTCGTGGTCTGGTTTTCCTTTGTTGAAGAGGCCGGAAGCCAGCCCATCGCCAAGGTAATATTGGGCGTAAGGATAGCTCCGGTCAGCCAGACGCTGCAGGATGCCCTTTGCTTCCCGGAGCAGCTCGGCCTTGGAAGTTTCACTCTTGTCCGTACTGTTATTGCTGTTGGGGTTATTGCTGTTGGTGTTACCGTTGCTGTTGTTGTTATTATTCGAGGTAGAGTCGTCTAGATCGATGTCCTGGGCTGCGTGGATCATGAAAACGGCAAATTCGTACTGGGCACCCGGGTCGTTGGTCTTCTTGACGTTGGCCAAGTACATGTCAAACGTCTGCTTCTGGGAGAGCAGCGAGGCATTGTTGCCCACGGACGAGCGCAGGTAGGCGTTGTTGAGGGCATTGGGCGCCGGTGGGGGCTGCGGATAGGGGACGTTGAGCAGGTCGACAAAGGAGAGCGGCCGCAGGTCGGCCTGGGAGTGCGAGCTGACTGCGCGGGCGTTCGGCGAGCGCCTGTGGCCGTGGGGGAGGCCGAGATGGTCTGCTCCGTGGGCATTCCTGTTGCTGGAGGAGCGCGAGGAGATGCTGGCGCTGGCGCTGGTGCTGCGGACGTGGCCGTGGAAGGGCTGGTGATGGTACTGGAGCGGCTGGTAGGGCTCGATGACGCTCTCGTCGCTGTGCCGGGCCTCTGACTGCGCATCCGGCTGGCCGTCAGCGCCCTCTGACTGCCTGTCTGACTGTCCACCGGGGCTATCTGTCCGTTGTTGCTGTTGCTGTTGTTGCTGGTGAGGATGTTGCTGGTGAGGGTGAGGATGTTGTAGATGGCCCATCTCTGCGCTGGAGGACTGGTCTGCCCTAACGGGCGAGACAGGCCCTCCGTGCATGGCAACGCTGCCGGGCTGAGCGTCCCCCGGGAGCTCCTTTCTCGTAGGCGTAGATCGCAGGTAGACTGGCAGCGGCGGCGAGAGGGGAGGCTGCTGGCTGCCCATGTCTCTGCGTGTCTCTGCTGTCTCTGCGTGTCTCTGATCGGTGTCTCAGGCTCAGGCTCTTTCGATCTCCCAGACCAGGAGCACCTCCCGGCGGGTCTTGATATAGGTATTTAACCAGACAGCAACAGGCTGCTCTCCGCCGGTGGCCAACCCTCAGCCTGGTTTTCCGGAAGTTATGCAGCAACAAGGTGCTCTTCTGTCAGTGACCTGTCGCGACCCCGGAGTCAGCCAGCGGGCAGGCTGTAGCAGCAGACGGGCGAGACCTCAAGGGGCGGGCGGCGGGAGAGGAGTGTTCCTACAACGCTCTCCTTTTCAATGCAGCGAGAAACAATAATAGACCATGACGGCCAAACGAGCGGGAGAAGAAGAAGACGAAGCAGATATAAGACGAGGAAGAGGGAGAGACGACTGAGCGAAGGGACTTGTTCTTCTTTTTTTTTTTTCTTCTTCTGTTCTTCTTCCTGGTGGAGTTTTCTGACGCAAAGCAGAGATCCAACTGCTCCACGGGATGATGGATGGAGGACGAAGAGGCCAGCAGCCACGGACTAGCGAGCGAGCAGAGAGCAGAGAGCAGAGCAGCTAAGCGAGAGGAAGCTGAACAAAGCCAGAGCAGCGGACGAGCTGAACGAGGGACGCAGAGATGGGTTTTTTTTTTTTTGCTGGCCGGTGGCTGAGGATGAGGCTCGCAGGCTGGCTATGGCCCGCTAGTTATCTGTAATTTGATATACGAGGCAGCGCAGCGCAGGGAGCCTCGACTGGACTGCGTGCAGCATGCAGACAGACCAGACGCCCCAGGACGAGATTGAACTAGCTAACTAGCTAACTGACTAGTTAACGACTCCGTCGGCTTGTTCTTGTCGTGGTTATTATTAGAGCCGGGGCAGCGCTTGCATGGGGACTCGCTTAGGCGTAGCGAAACACTCCATGAACGTCTCTCTTTTCTCTATATATCTTCTCTCGCAGCATTGCTTTTATATCGTCTATCATCTATTCCTTTCCTGTCATCCTCAACGTCACTGTTGTTGCTCCATCCTCCGGGCTCTGTATTTACTTCTTCGCCAGCTTTTTATATAGATCTGAGACACGCAAGGCGAAGCCCCTTTTTCTTCTTCCGCCAGCGCTCGCTCGCTCGCTCTACCTTAACCACTTGCTTGTCAGGCCGGCCACTGCTAGCCTGCACCAGCCGTCCTGCCGGCCTCTTCTCTGCCCTTTTTGTCTCTTTTGACTCTCTTTTGTCTCTTCCTTTGCTGTGATATCAACTTCTTCAACTTCTTCCCCCTGAGGGCGTAATAAAAGTGTTATTCAAAGTGCCTAAAAGAGGCCGCTGTATGTAATGTAATTTCCGGCTCCACCCGAATTGCCCCTTTTTGGCCGGTAAACCTGTGTAACCTCCATACCACTAAACTCTATTTCCGTTGCCTGGCAAACAGCTCACGTGACTTTTCCTTTTTGTCTTTCTTTTTTTTTTTCTTTTTTTTTTCGGTTTTCAAACATCAACAAAAGAACGAAAAAGCCAGCAAAAGACAACAAGAAGACGAAGAAGACGAAGAAGACGGAGAAGGACAAGTTGATGGCCTGCTAGACGACGATAGACAAACAGACAGAGACTCGCCAGTGCTCGTTCGGAGACTGCGGATGCCCGCTTAGCGCCCTCCCCTGTGTTGTCTGTCTTGCCCGCCGCCCCCTATCACCACCACGACTACTCCGTACACCATCGATCGATATCATCACCACCACCAAGAAGACCACCCAGAGACACAGCAACAGAGACGGCAGCGGTTCTCCGTGCATGATCGAGTGGATGAGACCGCTGGATATATAGATGTCCCTCCCGCAGCGGCCTGGGGCGTCCTCGTCCTCGCCCAGCCAGCCGTCCTTCCGCGACTCCTACCAGCGCCGGCGGCCTGACATCGAGTCCCCCAGTCCCTCGCCCTCGCCCACGCCCGCCGGCGAGCTCGGTCGCAAGCGCAGTCTCATCCGTCCAGAGCGCCATAGGATCAGCCGTGACCATCCAAACTACCACTACCGCCAGCATGCCCAGAACATGTCCGTCTACCCGTCCACCACGGGCAACGACCCCGTCTACGAGGAGACCGCAGCCCCTGAGCTCGTCGATACCTCGGAGACCATAAGCTCCGGCAGCACGGGGCTCAAGAGCATCACCAAGCCCGAGAGAAACACCACCAGCCTCGAGCGGAACCCCAGCATCGATGTCAACTCGGTCCCTTCCACCACCGGGGGCGGACCAACCCCTTCCCCCCGTCCTCCCGCGGCCGCCGACGGCAGGCAGGCAGACTCCTCCCACCGCCGTATGCAGCGGAAGCTCTCTCGCAAGGCCTCCAAGTCGACGAAGGAGGAACGCCGTCTGGAGGAGAAGAGGCGCCAGCAGGAGATGGACAACATCAAGCCCCCCAGCTTGTGGAATGTCTACTGCGGCATGATCACCTTCTGGGCTCCCGACTTTATCCTCAAGTGCTTTGGCATGCCGGCCAAGGCTCAGCGGAGAGCCTGGCGTGAGAAGATGGGCCTCATCAGTCTGATCCTGCTCATCTGCGGCTTCGTCGGTTTCCTCACTTTCGGATTCACTCAGGTTGTCTGTGCTGCGCCTCCCGTGCGTCTCAAGGTCAACGAGGTCGACCAGGGCTACATGATCTTCCACGGACGCGCCATCAACCTCGCCAATTCTCGACACCCAGCCGTGCTCGGTCTGCCGGACGCTTCTGTCGTTGTCTTCTCCGGTGACGGATACGGCGGCCAGGACGGCAGCTTTCTCTTCCAGAACGTCAATGGCGCGTGCAAGGGCATGATCACCCCCAAGGAGGGTTCTGATATCCCTTCCAACAGCGACGGTGACATGGGATGGTATTTCCCCTGCGTCACCTTCAACCAGGACGGCTCAACCAAGCCCAACTTCACCACGCCAGAGTACCTCGGATACAAGTGCCATACCTCTGCCGCTGCTCGAGATGCCTTCTACGATCTCCGCACCACTGGTGAGGTCTACTTCTCATGGGACGACCTCAAAAACAAGAGCAGAAACCTGCTCGTCTACTCCGGAAACGTTCTCGACCTCGACCTCCTCAAGTGGTTCAACACCAGCCAGGTCTCCTACCCGTCTCGCTTCGACCAGCTCCGCGAGAGCGAGGAACTGCGCGGCGTCGATGTCACCCACCGTTTTCAGACCGGCCCGGAGAAGAGGATGTTCAAGTGTCTGACCCAGATCATCAAGGTCGGTTCAATCGACACTGAAACAGTCGGGTGTATCGCCTCCAAGGTCGTGCTCTACATCTCTCTTATCTTCATTCTGGCCGTTGTTATCGTAAAGTTCCTCCTTGCCTTGGCCTTCCAATGGTTCCTGGCCCGTCGGTTCGCGGCCCCCAAGACAGCGATGGATCCAGACTCCAAGGAACGGAAGCGCCAGATCGAAGACTGGAGTAACGACATCTACCGCCCCGGGCCCCGCCTGGCGGATCCTGCCATGCCCGACCGCTCCAGCAAGCGCGCCTCTAACATCTTCCCAACTACGTCACGTTTCTCTAGCCCCTATGTGGTCGGCTCAAACAAGCAGCGCAATACCATCACCACCATGTCCAGCCAGAATAACTCCAACCGCCTCAGCGCCGCGCCAATGTACAAGCTCGGCAACCCAAGCCAGGGAACCCTTAGCGCTGACCTCCGACACAGTCTCATTGGCAGTCGTACCAGTCTCATGGTTCCAGGCCATGACCACCGCCACTCTACCATCAGTGACATCGAGGGCCAGGGCCCTGCCGAGTTCGTCCACGAGGCCGTCGTGCCACAGCCTCCGCCGGAATGGCAGCCGTTTGGTTACCCTCTAGCCCATACCTTGTGTCTGGTTACCGCGTACTCTGAAGGGGTTGAAGGAATCCGCACCACCTTGGACTCAATCGCATTGACCGACTACCCCAACAGCCACAAGACCATCCTCGTCATTTGTGACGGTATCATCAAGGGTAAAGGCGAGAGCATTTCCACTCCTGATGCTGTGCTCAGCATGATGGGCGACCACGCCGTGCATCCAGACGATGTCCAGCCCTTTTCCTACGTTGCTGTTGCCTCTGGCTCAAAGCGTCATAACATGGCCAAGATCTACGCTGGATTCTATGCCTATGGTCCTGATTCCATCGTTCCCCCCGAGAAACAGCAGCGCGTGCCCATGATGGTGGTCGTCAAGTGCGGAACTCCTGAAGAAGCCAACAAGAGCAAGCCCGGAAACAGGGGTAAACGAGACAGTCAGATCATCCTCATGTCCTTCCTCCAAAAGGTCATGTTCGATGAGCGAATGACCGAGCTCGAATTCGAAATGTTCAACGGCCTGTGGAAGATTACCGGCATTTCTCCAGACTTCTATGAAGTCGTTCTCATGGTTGACGCAGACACCAAGGTCTTCCCAGACAGTCTCACCCACATGCTTTCTGCCATGGTTCGCGACCCTGACATCATGGGCCTCTGCGGTGAGACCAAGATCGCCAACAAGTCCGATAGCTGGGTTACCATGATCCAGGTGTTTGAGTACTTCATTTCTCACCACTTATCGAAATCCTTCGAGTCTGTCTTTGGTGGTGTCACCTGTCTTCCGGGCTGTTTCTGCATGTACCGCATCAAGGCTCCCAAGGGCGGACAGAACTACTGGGTACCCATCCTCGCCAACCCGGACGTGGTTGAACACTACTCCGAAAACGTCGTGGATACGCTGCACAAGAAGAACCTTCTTCTCCTGGGTGAGGACCGATACCTATCCACTCTCATGCTCCGGACTTTCCCCAAGCGCAAACAAGTCTTCGTTCCCCAGGCAGTATGCAAGACCACCGTTCCAGACAAATTCTCCGTGCTGCTCTCCCAGCGTCGTCGATGGATCAATTCCACCGTGCATAACCTGATGGAACTTGTCCTCGTCCGCGACCTCTGCGGCACATTCTGCTTCAGTATGCAATTCGTCGTCTTTATGGAACTCGTCGGAACCCTTGTCCTTCCCGCCGCCATCGCATTCACCTTCTACGTCGTAATCATCTCCATCGTCAGAAGCCCCGTTCAGATCATCCCACTCGTCCTCCTCGCTCTTATCCTCGGTTTACCAGCCGTGCTAATCGTAATCACTGCCCATCGCCTATCATACGTTCTCTGGATGTTCATATACCTTCTCTCCCTACCAATCTGGAACTTTGTCCTACCCACATACGCGTACTGGAAATTCGACGATTTCAGCTGGGGAGACACGCGAAAGACGGCAGGCGAGAAGACCAAAACTGCCGGAATAGAGTACGAGGGAGAATTTGATAGCAGCAAGATCACCATGAAGAGATGGAGAGATTTCGAAAAAGGTACGCAACCCTCCCCCTTCCCTATACTATAACTGGCCGGAGCTTTTGATTTGGTTGGTTGGAAAATGAATGATCTCTTCGGACGATGCTAACTCTTCTCTGCTAGAACGCCGGCTCCGAAATGCAAATACAGCCAGTCACCATCACACGAATTCCTCGTTTTCCAACTATGCTCATAATTCCGTGTACGGTGGGTACTCCGACTACCAATGAATGCACGTAATCGGGCATGTGTTTTTTCGTTATTTCTTTATATATTTTCTTTTCTTATTTATATCCTGTCTGTCTGTCTGTCCGCTTACGTGCTTAAATTTAACTGCTTGCTTTTGCCGCATTCCCCTTGATTGATTGAACGCTCAAATTTACCCGGATCTATCGGATTATTACCTTCTGGCCATTTATTACCCCATACCCTTATTACCTCTATTCTCCGTTGCGATGACCCATGAAAGCCCTCGCATAGTTTTTTTTATTATTCATATATGCCATGTTCCATTTATATTCGTCAACCTTGGTTTGGCCATGATATTATTTGATATACCACCACACTCAGCTGTATTTACTAGTAATATCCCTGATTTTCCTCTGCTTGTCATTGGTGCTTCTCGAGTTGTTGCTTTTATTTTATTTTCATGGCAGCTTACACTTCATTGGGGTCGAGCGCACTTATGCCGTTGTTCTGCGTTTGTTTGTCTCTCTGTATGTAGATATAACTATATAGGCACGGATATACAAGATGTTATTTACTTCTTTCCCTCTTTTCTCGCCAAACGACTGATAGCGAACTGCTGTAAGGTACTCTCTGTACGTAAGAACTCTCTAGTTTACATATCCCTATTCCGTAAACGCCTGCCTACCCGTCTAGGCCAGCCTGACACTCACCCTCATCCATGCTCAAACTCAGTACACAGACAGCCATCTCGGCCAGGGGGGGTATAAGATCGTAGCCTGCAGATACCGTGTTTGGCACATCACGCATGAAACGATCCTGGTTCGTGCATTCAAGCGGTGGGCAACCTGGCTGGCCTTGGCCTGGTTCAAAGTATAGATACTATTACTCAAGTCAATCATTAATACTTACGTGGATGGATAGGCGGATTGTCAGTTATGTTAAGCAAGTTAAGTCGAGCAAAACAAAAAAATGCAATAAAATATTCATGTCGGGCTGCCGTGTTGGGCATCGAGCAGTGCTGCAGTGTAATGCAGGGGGATGAATGGAAAGAACCTGGAATTCCACAACAGCCACTCATCATCTTTTTGACCCTAATACCTAATAATGGAGTCACTGTATGGGCGTTTTGGGGGGAGGGGGGATGGACGGAGTTAGCCGTAAGAGGTATGTAGACGGGTACACATGCAGGGGTAATGGAAAGCATAACCTCATCTTTCCGACCTTGCTGTGCGTTCCAGTCTGTGTGTAACAAACGGAATCTGAGATGTTGTTATCTCGCCTATAGCTTAAGCAGGTAGCCATGCGCGGAGGCATCCGTATGGAGTCACCCTAAGCGTATACACTTATGTATGCACTCCGTAAGGCATCTCCGTACGTACCGACCAGACACCTCCGGCGCGCGCGCGGGAACAAGGGGGGCACTCCTGGGCTCGGTGACTAACGAGCCCGGTGGATCAATAGGGTTAATTGGCTGTTTGTTTGCCATCTCGAATCTCCCCCGGATGATTCGCTGCTCTCCCGCTCCCGTGCCGCGAGAACAGAGAGAGGCTGCGTACCTGTGGCTAGCCGTAAGTAACGACATGTACGGACGGAAGACAGGCATGCGGTAGCGAGGATGTGCAACCCTTGCCTTCTTTGCCCTCCCACATCATGCGCCCCGTCATGCAAGTCCAGTGTCTGTCAAAAGGTGCTGCATCCCTGCAGCCTTCTGGGTCCCCCCCTTACTCCCTCCCGTGCGGGCCATGGCCACCTCGACTGGGCTAGCGCATGTACCATCCATGTCGCAAGGGCAACAAACACCCCATCGCAAGGGCATCTCAGCGCGTATAAGTGTCGGCCATGGTGCCTCAGGGGGGGTGTGTGTCAGTAAGTCAAGTCGCCAACTACTAAACTTTTATATCGAAAAGCCCGGCGGCATCGTCCCAAAGCGGTTAGAGCAAGGACGGGACATCACATGACCTCGGATCTCGGCGTTTCTTTCCTTGCGCGGGGCGGAAAGCGGAAGGTCGAGGACGTCGAAAGTCGAGCGAAGAGACAAACATCGACAACAACAACGCTTCTTCGACTTTGCGACTCTCGACGACTCGACGACGGCGGGCGCGGGGACTGCGAGAGACCGGACGGCGATTCACCTGGGGCGTCGAGACTCGGCTCGTCTCGGCGGTGAGAGGCTGTCTGTCTGTTTGTTTTGGCCGGAGGAGAGCAGTCGCTGGCTCGGGCTTTGGGGCTCCTGCTGGCTCTCCCCGTCCTCGCTTCTTCCCCGGCTTTGTTTTCAGCTGCCTGCCCGTATCAAAACATCTGCTCCTCCACTGCATCGAAGGAGCCGTCAATTGCTCAGGCTCGTCTTCTTCCTCTTCACCCGGGGAAGAAGATACCTGGTCTCGTTGGACTGTCTATAAGACAGACAACTCAACTCCCCGGAAGGATATCTTCTTGACTGTTGGACGCTGCGCGCGCTAAGCTAACATAATAACAAACCGCTGCATTGGCTGCCTCTTTGCATATCTCTCTTGTCTCACCCATCTTGCTATTCCCTCCCCTTATCCCCTATTCACTTCTATTGCCTCCTTGTCCCTGCTATTCACTTCCTCCTCCGCTGCTGGTAGTGAATGGCCTGAACAAGCCTGCCTCACTTCTCGCTTCCTCACCTTATTTCCCACCCCCTTTGGAGCAACACACATACTTGGCCCTGTTTTCTTGGCCCCTCCATCTTCTGGCTTAATCACCTGTGTAACAACATCTTTTTTGCTTCTTCTTCTCCTTCATTTTTTCTTTTCTTCTTCCATCCAACTCCCTTTTCTTTTTCTCTTCTTTTCCTCTTCTTGATCATCATATTCCTTTTGCTCCTATTCTAAGCCATCTATCTTGTGGTGGCCAAATCTCCAAGGAAGAGCAAGAAGCAGCAACAAAAGAATACAGCTCCCTTACGCCGTGCCCTTTTTTTTTTTCTCCAAAGGTATGTGCTGGCTCCTCTTGTCTTCGGTTTCTTTCTTCTGATGTATAATTCGTCGCTTTTTCTAGTGCTGGATCCAGTCGAGGTCTTTTTAAAGAGACTCATCATCTATCCAAGGTCCTTGGGGCCTTGTTGCTTGTATATGAACTTTTGTCCAGATTTCAAAGTCTTCGGGTCTTTTTCTTTTCTAGACGAGCTCCATATTCAAGCTAGCTGGTGACTGAGATCTAGTGATGTGCTTCTACCTGTGAACGATCTAGTGAAGATATGGTTGATCAGACTGAGACAACAGCCGGGTCATCCTCCTCCTCTCAGAGTGTTCCACACCTATCTGCTACTGAAGCAGTAGATGATATCACCAAGCAAGAAGACCTAGTTATGAATGAAGAGCTTCCACACAGCGCCGAGACCCGTGAAGGTAGGTGATATTTTTTTTTTCTTTCCTTTTTTATATTGCTTTCTTTTTTATGCTACTCTATATTTATATCTATCTATTTATTTATATATATATACTCTATCTAACTTTCTCTTTAGACTCTCATCTATCTCTCTTTGGGCCATTCACGCAACCAACAAGTGGCCTTCTGTCTACTCCTCTGACCTCCTCACCTTACCCAGAAGAGGAACATATAAGTGAGGACGTGCCAGAAATCACTGGCTCCCTGGCTCACTTACCCGATCCTTACCCATTAATCAGTATTCCAGCTCATCTGACCCTCTACTCTAACGGGCATAGCTTCTACCACGATCGCGACATGGACGAGCAAGAGGACGTCGAGGAGCTTCTCGACCACCCGGCGCCTTTTGTGCCTGAATCGGCCAATGACGACACCGATGATGGTTGGCAGGAGGACCAGTGGATGGAACCTCCAGATGGTAATGGTAGCTTGATCGAAATCACCGAGCTTTCTGGTTTCGAGCTTGATAGGCTTCCACATGACAGAGTGGGCACGGGCCCTGGGTCCATCTCTACCAACTCCGAAAAGGATGGCAACGATGCCACCGAGGGGTTTTATCCCTCTGACGATGAAGACTCGTGCCGCGACTCCGAGAGTATATGTGGCAATGTCCCTTCCTTACCATCTACTCAGCAAGAACAATTAAGCACCAACCATGATATCAGCAACAACCCTAATAATACCGCTATCGGTCCTATTACCCCACCAGTTGAGCAGGCTGAGTTCCCTCCAATAGAGCTTCTCCAATTTGCCTTACCAGATCCTGGAGATCACTATTTCGATCCATCTGGGGTCGACTCTGATATGGCGGACATATCTATGCACACTGAGAGTATGTATTATTTTTTTTTTTTCCCTGTTATTTTATTGTATTAAGGGGCCATGAATACCCATACTCCTTGATTAAGTATTTGCATGCGACCTGGCTGCTGTCTGGTCAGTGTGAAGCTCTCTGTTCTGCTAAGCATGGTGCGGCGACGCGTCTCACTTTTGCTTCTTTGTTTATAAAAGGCGCACCCTCCCCCCTTATGAGCAAAACATCTCTTCTGCCAACATCACCAACAGTCAGGGCCTGAACATGGGCCTGACAAACATCCTTCACCCTTGATACCAGAGGAACCTAAACAACCCCATCCTTATCTTTCTCCATTCCTACCTGTATTCCTTTTTTCACCATGGTTCCCTATACGTTTAGAGTCTATTCTCAGAGCATTTTGCCTCCAAACCATATTGTTCCTGATGAGTATACTAACAAGCGCCACTCGCCAGCATTCGAACGCAACTTGACCGTTGAGCAATTCATCCGTCAATGGTACCTTCGCGCTCGTATGTCTCAGGATCGACTTGGTATCAAGCATCCGTATCCCCCAATTGCTTCTGAGGCTATGAACGTGCAAAACTGGCAGAGACCAACCAAGATCTCCCATCCGGATGATCACAAGGGACGCTATTTTGACATCCAAAACATTCCATGGTCTTCGAAGTTGAACGTGGACAGAGCTGCTGCTCGTAGCTTACGGGACCAGTGGTATACTTCTTACCATAATTTACGGTTTCAGCCGCATGGTGTATGTTCACTTCTTCTCAGTCCTTATATTTATCAGGTGTCTAATTCAACACTATCTTTTCTAGTATGCCATCACTCCGCGCAACACTGAGAATTATTTCAAAGCCAAGAACATGTATACCAAGTTCAAAGCCACAATGGCTCATTTTCAGCTCCGCAACCTCATGTCTGTAAGAGCATCCAACGTTGTGCAATATGTCTATCGTAACAAGGTCTACTCCGTCACTCCGTTCTACGATGTGCAAGATACTATCCTTGAGCTTACCGAGTCGGTTTCTTCTAACCCTGTGGCTGAGCCTCTGAAAATATCTACCATGAAGGCCAAACATGGTGTGACTGTTGTTGGTGGTTTCAGTGGTGAATACGCTTACAAGGGTGAAATCCACGGCTACGACAAGGTTGAAGGTCGTATTACGAAGCATCTCAACGGCATAACCAACCACATTGACATTGTTCAGCATCGCACCAGCCACACTCCACAGGCCATCATTGCCTCTAACGATAACTCCATCCGCATTCTCGACTGCGAGACAAACAAGTTCATTGCAACCCACCGCTTTGCTCGCGCTATCAACTGCACGGATACCTCTCCAGATGGTCGTCTTCGTGTAATTGTCGGCGATTCTGCTGATTCCTGGGTTGTTGACAGTGAGACCGGAAAACCAGTTCAGCCTCTTGCCGGCCACCGTGACTATGGATTTGCATGCGCCTGGTCCCCCGATATGCTGCACATAGCCACCAGCAACCAGGACAAGACTGTCAACATCTGGGATGCCCGTATGTGGAGAATCCTCCAGACTCTTGACTCGGACGTTGCAGGCTACCGTTCCCTCCGTTTCTCCCCTGTTGGCGGTGGCCCGCGAACTCTGCTCATGTGCGAGCCTGCAGACCGCTTCGTCATCGTCAACGCTCAAAACTACCAGACCCGTCAAGTTCACGAATTCTTTGGTGAAATTGGAGGAGCAGACTTCACCCCTGACGGCGGCCGCATTTGGCTCTCCAACATGGATTCTCGCTTCGGAGGCCTCATGGAGTTCGACCGCATTCAATGGGGCCAGGAATTCGGTATTGGCCATACTAGACGCGCCAAGATCGAAGCCCGTGGTGATGTCTATTATCCAGACCTGCCTAATGAATGGCTTCCTGAAGCCGAATTGGACGATGATCCACGCTGTGTCTTGAGTGCTAGTGAGCGTAGGATCCGATACTTGAGACTCATGAGCGATGCTGAGTTCTCAAGATTCAATATTTATTTGGGATAAAACCTGAAAATTCTCTCTCTCTCTCTCTTCTTATCCCGCCATCATTTGGCCTGGCTTCTTTGGCTTACTATGCTCTTTGGCTTCTCGCCTTTTGGCATGATTTGAAAAAGAACCATCTATGATCGGATTGATCCCGACCTTCCCCATGACTTTTTTTCCATCGATAATATCCTTCTTGCATTCCAAGTTGGTGTTCTTTGGAGTCGAGTTACCCTACGAAACCAAAGTTTTCCTGCCTTCTTGCGCAGCGTGTCTTTTCTCGACGAGCGATACTATATCCCTTTTTCACGCTTTTCAACGACCAGTAACGACTCGCAATGACCCATACACTGGCTCATCACTACGAATTCATGATACCTCGCACCTATTTTTTTTTTCTTTTGTTATCTTACCTCTCCCCAGAACAAGCTCTTTCATCTTCCCGACTCCC